CCTAAAGTTTTTTACATTTAAGAGAAATTATATGAAATCTTAAATCTGAATGTGGGATTTGGAGTTTGATTGCGTATATGTTTTTTTCTTTTGATATCCCAACAAATTTTAGTTAGATAGTTCGAGATTTTGTAAGACTTTTTAAAATCTCATGGATACATCTAGACTTTTAAAAGTCTTAAAAAATCTAAATTGAATATATCAGGATTTTTAAAAATCTTAAAGTCTTTAGAAATCACACAAAATTAGGTGTATTGCAAATTTGATCTCAAAATTATAAAAATGGCTCTTTAATTTATTTATTATTTATTTAGTTTTACAATATTGGTCTCGTTGTTATTCAAATCGATAATCAAAATAGAGTTTGATTTGCATCTTGGGATCAAATTTGCAATTTGGTCAATAATGATGGACCAATTTTGCAACTTTCTTCCAAATATTTATTAATTTTAATGATTACTCACCAAGTTGTATTTTGTTATTTGAGTCTTTCCTTTTCGATAAATTATGAAGTTCTTATTATTTTCTTCACATCATATTATTGTAACAATATTATTTCCCACTCTAATTACAATTGTGGACCTATTATATTAGAAGGTAGCAAATTAGGTCCTGCTGGAATGACATATAGCAATTAAGTCTTATTCTTGATTATAAAATTCCCAATCTTGACGATTAAAATGACTAAAATTACAATAAAACTATAAATTATAGTACTTAAATTGCTAATCAAATCCATCCCAAATGTATAACTTATGAATTTTGTCGGCCAAATTAATGAAATTGCAACAAAATCTAAAATTACAAGGATTAATATATTACATGTAACTTCATTGTGATCTAAATTGCTATCTTCTTAATAAAATATGATCAAATTTGCAATTTAGCCTTATTTCACGTGTGTATTTTGCATTAAAATGTATAATAAAGTCATCTTACAATACTTTCTCCATTTTAAAGTATTTTTTAAATACAAATGACATTGATAAAACTAATTATTTTTTTCTTTTTTATAATTGAAAAGTTAATAAAATAAAATACAAAATAATATCCTGCTAGATGATATTATGCAGAAACATTAGATATTTATTTTTGATTAAGAATTTATCTAAATATTATCAATATTTTTATATCATATGATTGTAATAAATGTTATTTTATATTTTTAGTTTATGCAAATTTAGAATTGCATTTAGTGTTCTAAAAATTGGATTAGGTATACAACACCTAGGCGAAATAATATTTACCTAAACATCTCTTCTTAGCTCTACTCACTAAGCGTTGCTTAGGCGGGGTACACGCTTTTTAGGCGCCTGATGTAGTACTCAGAATAGCTCGACAAACAGGCTTGAGCAGACAGCTCGGGTCGGCCGGTCTAGGAGAGCTTCAATCCATCCAGAAGTAAGCATCCTAGTCAAGAAGTTTGCCTCCAATTCGTGGTACTGGTCGATCTGGAAAAAAATGGCTGGACGTATCGACCTCCAGAAGCTCGGTAATGAGGTACCTCGAGGTATCGAGGTCGTAAGATCTGTGGTCATGTTAGACCTTATGATGACGTCAGGTTTGACCTCGGGTAAGCAACATGAAGTAGGAGGTCGAGGTTAGGCCTAGGGAGACTTGCTTAAGGGGACTTGCCTAGAAAGAGACGTGGTAAGTTATGAAATGCGATCAGGTTGGATCTTTTTCCTATCAAGGACTCTATAAGGTAACAAGATAGTTATCATATATAAGGGTTCCAGGTTCTTTTTCATTATCATATTACATTCTACGCATTAAGTTACAATCTCATATATATTTGTTGAGATTGTTCTCACTTGAGCGTCGGAGGTTATCT